AAAAAAAAAAAAAAAAAAAAAAAATAGAGAGAGGAAAATGAAGATATTTATTCTTTTTCAAAAACATGCAGAACGGAGGAGGTTATTTAAGAGATCATTTTCCTGCTCAAGAAATAAAAGCTGGTAGTGGCTAAAATCAGCCACAAGGTGCTGCTAGGCACCTTGCTCCCGCAAGCTGCAATTACCTGCAGCTGACAACCTCCAACTGCTCACAATTGACCCTATTTTTTGTAGCAACATGTTCTGCTCTTAATTCAACCATAGGCTACTTTGGAACAGGTTTGCTAGCCATTACAGCTTGGTAAACTATTTAAGATATCCATCTGAATTTAAGGATTTAAGGAGTCCATCTGAAGTGGTAACAAGATCCATGAAGCACAGTTTTATTTATGACCAAATCAAGATTTGAAAACACCTCAAAACAGAACAGCAGAAATGAGATCATAAGGTACAAAAAAACCACCCTCATCACCACGTGCATTTATGGTTCCAAGAATTGGATACATCAGCAAATTTTATGCTGCATTAAAACACACAAATCTTTATGGATGTATATATAGCAACATATATACATACATATATGCAGAGGGGGGAAAAAAAAGCTATTTTGAGTACCAACAGCAGAACAGAAAGTCTCCTCTATCCATTTCAAACTATTCTGAAGCTTTTTAGTATTAAAATCAATTTAAGAACCACTCAGCATCACAACAGCTGTGAGTGCAATCCAATAAACAAACCTCCTCAGCTCCGGGCTGATTCTCTCTTGTACAGCTATATTAAAGCAGAATCTATCACAGGGAGACCTGCTGGCGAGGCAGCCCCTTTTCAAGCAGCAGCCGATGCAAATTAAGCGAGGATTGCCCCCAAAACGCAAGCTTCCCGGGGGGAAGGTGGGCAGAGTGGAGGGTGAGAGACCTAAGCTTGAATGATACAGTCGGAAAGGAAAAGTTACAATCAGAAATGAGCGGTTACAGTCGGAAAAGCCGCTGCCGTTGGAACAGTCACGGCTGCGGGACCCCCTTGCGGTGGGGAGAGGACCGTTACCCTCAGGGAGCGACCGTTAAACGGCAGCTGGGAGGGGCGGGGCGGGCGCTGGTCTCGCGCGCGCCGCCGCTCTCGCGAGGCCCCGTTTGAAGCGGCGCGGGGCGCGCGGCGGCCATGGCGCTGCGGCCGCGCCTGCTGCGCACCTACTCGCGGCGCGGCGGCCACCTCCGCCCGCTGCCGCAGCCCGAGCGCTGGATCTCGCCGCCGCGCGACCGCAAGCGCCTCTTCAGCTCCACCTCGGCCGCCTCCAGCGCCCGATCCGACGACTCGGGCGACCCCGACTTCTCGCTGCCCGGCAAGCGCGGCCCGCAGCCGTCGGCCGAGCGGCCCGCGCGGCCCTGGCGCCTGCGGAGCCGCCGCCGCGACGCGGCCGACAAGGAGAACCGGCCGCCGCCCGCC